TTTTTTTTTTTTTTTTTTTTTTTTTTGGTACTGGTGATCGAACTCAGGACCTTGCACTTGTGAGGAAGGCAGCGGAACCACTGAGCTAAATCCCTGGCTCTCAATCATCTCTTCTTTGTGTCTTGAATGATTGTTCCCTAGGTTTCTGTGGTGGCTTTCTTAGCGTTCCCCCTCAATGATCTCCCTCTCTCCTTTAAGGAGAAATCTATGGTTACTTAGATATCTACCTTAGACCATTCCCAGCTCTTAACCAGTATATCCTGCTTTCTTTTGAACATTTTTACATAATTATGTCAACAGTATTCTAAAATCAGCGTGTCTAAAACTGAGTTACCCATTCAGCTCATAGAAGTACCACTGACTCAGGCACTTCTGAGCAGAGGTCATATGAACTGTCTTCAGTATATCCTTTTTCCTCATGCCCTGTTGCTTTGACTCTCAATGATGGATTTGTCTCTCACTGCCTACTTCTCAAGATTGCTCTGTTGATGACTGAGCCACCATTTCCTAGTCCCAACCTCCACCCTTCAAAACTAGGTTAGATGTCCTTCCTATACTGAGTTCCTTGTCAGTACAGCTGTGTTAATTTATTATCACTAAACTGGAGTTCCTGAAGGAACCCCACTGTGTCTTAGTTTTTCTTGTAGCATAGCACTTGGCATCTAGTACAGTGGGTGGTTAATGAATATTTGAGTACACGAATAATAAAAGTACAGAGGAAATAATACAGTCTTTTGAGTCACACCAGTCTGTATCTAAACTCTGCTACCTCAACCTCAGCCAAATGTATTTATGTGTAGAAATTCCATTTTCCGTATCTGAAAATGAATTACTTTAGGTGATAGTATAGTGCCTGGCACATTGTAGGTGCCCAGTAAATTACCTTCTAAGACAAGGTAGCTTGCTTTATTGTTTATAGTTGTGCTGCCCAGTACTATTTTTGTAAACTGAATTCATTCTCCAATTTTCAGGGCCTACCGAGAAAGATTCTATAGTGCCAAGTGTGATTTTTCTAAGAATAGTTATCATTTAAAATGTAGAATGAAAAAATGAAAACAAATGACTTTTCAAGAACACCATGAAGGGCCGGGAATGTAGTTCAGCAGTGCAGCACCTGCCTCGCAAGCACAAGGTCCTAAGTTCAACCCCCGGTACAAATACAAAAGACACTATGAAACCTCACAAATTTCGATCCTAAAATTTCCAGCTAAGGCCTTGTAGATCATCGATCGGCATTTTCTACATCTGTAGTGCGAACCTAGGGACCACTGATTGCAGACGAACTTAAGCCCTTGTTAAAAGAAATACTTCTGTTCATTACCATCATGCAGGGCTCACTGAAGTATGAGGATAGATGTGTA